AAATAAAGTAGATTCGGCCTTGGCGAGCGATTACTCCTGTCGTCCAATTGGCTGACCGAATTGAATATAACAACGATCCATACAGTACATCGAATGGCATGGCTAAAAGGCGCACCGGCGAGAATTGATTTAGAGATCGTGAGAGATTTCGACTGAGTCATTCCAAGTGTCGAAAGAACGGATCAAATCTAGAAAGGTCAGTACGGATAGGCACTCTGTCGTCAGGGAGATCGACATACTGTAATATAGAACCATTGCCTCGAGATGCACATCAATAGCTACTCGCTCGTCCACCGTATGGATGTTCAGGCTACCGCCCCTGCGAGATGGACTCCAGCGGTAGATGTTCCGCGACAGGGCCCAGTAGAATCTAGTGTCGGTATTTCCCGTCATGATGTCGCCGCTGACCACCACTGTCTTGCCCTTCAAACTGGGCACGGACTCGAAGGAGGTGCGCGTGACACCAGTGAAGCGAGCCCAGACGGCGTCGGTGTCGATATTGGTAGGACTCACGGGAGCAGGGACAAGAGGCGTGCTGAGGGTGGACAAGGTGAGATGATTATTGACGGCTGGTTTATCGGCAGTGGTGGCAGTCGTTTCTGGAAAGGCGGTCCATGACAGATTGTGCTTGTCAGCGATCGGGGCGATGATGTCAATGGCGCGCTGCTTGATGAGTTCTGGGGTTTGATGGAGGGCGATGCGGTAGTTGACGAGCGCGGAGATCTTCTCGGGCAGAGCGTTTGATTTGATGCCGCCGTTGAAGATGTCGGCGGCCTGCGAGGTTTGCAGGATGTATCGGAAGGCGTCGCCGCGGGAGGATGCCAGTTTCTCGGCTAGCGCGACGTGGTCGGATGACTGAAGGCCGGAGGCGAGCCAGGGTTCGACGTGGTTGGGGGAGTAGCGAGCCTGGCATTCGAGCATGCGGCGGGAGGGGTGGTCGTCTGTCAGGACAGGGACGAAGAGGGCCTGTCGCTCGAGCTCGTAGACGATCTCGGCCATGATGCCGATCCCTGTGTGAGGGGGTGGAATGGAGCTGTGGCCGCCGGCGACGTCGAGAGAGAGCACAATATCGATGCTGCCTTTCTCTCCTACGCCAGGGAGCGCGTAGACCACGTCATCGTCCAGAGATTCGAGACCCATGCCGCCCTCGTCTAGGATGAACTCGAAACTGTCGGGGCCGTACTTCTTTTCTAGGGCAGAGGAAAGCGAGCCAGCGCCGAGGAAGCCATGAGATTCCTCGTCAAACCCGAAGGCGAGAACAATGGTGCGTGTCGGCTGCCAGTTCTGCTGGAGCAGGTCTTCGATGACGGACAGGAGGCCGATCAAGACGTTCTTGCAGTCGCTAGCTCCTCGGCCCCAGAGCCACTCGCCATCGAAGTGGCCGGCAAAAGGTGGGTAGGTCCAGTCGGAAGGATCATTGATCGGTACAACGTCTTGGTGAGCCATGAACAGGAAGGTTTAAGTGAGTCATCGGTGCCGTTGAGGGTGTAGAGCAGGCCGAGTCTGTTGATATGATCCACGGAGGCATACGAATGACTGAACCTATCATTTGAGCATCTCTCGTTCTAATAAATCGGGAGAGAGTAGGCCTACATCAGAGGAAACAGCGATTCCAGGAGTTCTTGGAACTCAACAAAGGGAGCGAATCCCTCGTCAAATGGGTCCGTCATGTAGTCATTGACAGTGGTGGGAATCTGGACGGCTCTTGAGAGACGGTCGACCTGCTGCAGCCGAATAGTCCCATCCTGGACATATCGAAGTGCAGAAAGTAGTCCATCTTTAGGCACTTCGACCTTGGGTGCCAGAGGGCAGATGTTGTTGGTGCCAGACCAGGACTTGAGGATTTGCTGCGAAGAAGGAATGCTGAGTGACATAGCCGAGGGTATTCCGAACCCTATGAGGGCCAAGACGACGTGGGCAATCGACCGCATTTCCTTCAGTTTTCCAGGACCAGGCTTGGGTGTAAATCGGAGAGTTGCACTGGAAAGGAGAGAAAGCCAGAACAGCGTTGTTCAAGACATTTATCCTGTCTCTCGGTGCAAGTCCGTACTCCGCAGCTGTTATCAATACGATCTCCTTCTCCGCATGCACTTCGGTCGCTTTGCATCTTCACCATTGTGAGACGTCTATTTGACAGGCCAGTTGATAGATAATGGCGGGTCAGTCCGCTCGCCAAAGGATAGCTTTGCCCGATCGGGAAGGTCATAAGCGGTAGGTCTGTGATGATGAATCTCTAGGGAAAATGATCTGATTGAGCGATGAACGGAGATATTAGGGATGCCAACTGTCCAGGAGATTTTGGCTTACCGGCGTGTTTAGAGATTATCAGACCCAACCTCGCCTCATGAGCCGCATGGTAGTATCGATTTGTGAGATTGCGAACTACTGCCAGGTCAGGCAGGATACAGAGATTCCTCCTTGTTGATAATGCACGGCTGGAACTCGGAGGGAGATCAGAAGCTATGCGTCGAAGGCTTCAGCATAAAAGGAGTAAGTCGTATCCCTGCCAGAGGGTACAATCGACGTATGAAGCATGATGGCTTGCGTATCGCTGGCCTGGGGGATCTTTGCCTCCTGAGCTTACAGGCTGGACTTTTTGTTATTTGGCAAATATTTCTACAAGAATTTTATTATCACGAGGCATTGAATCGATGAGCACAAAATAGTTGAGAATGAATAAGTCGCAAGATCGATGGAAGAAAAACGAGCATAGTTGATTTCCTTTGTTGACCAGCAGACCAGGGTCAGGTGCCGTCTTGTGACGATGCTTTTGTCCCATCTTCTCTCTTCGGCATCTCGAGGCTCTGGTCGAATTTCGGCAGAGAACCAGTCAAGGCAAATCAAAGCGATTGATCTAACTAACTAACTAACTATGCCTTACCTCAGATCTTCCATCGGACTAAACTTCCACGAGCCTGATCAGGCTGAAAACCCCGAAGCTGTTGCAAGTTGCATCACCACCCGAAAAGAGCAAGCGACCTGATGATTATCGACGGATAATACTGGATTGCTCAAACAGGTACCCCTCTACTTGTCTCAGAAAACAATAGTACGTTGATCCTTGACATCACCAAGGGAAATAGAGCCACAAACTAGCGAAATTCGGGGGACGCTAAAACCCCGACTGCGGCGAGCAGGCTGAGCAGCGATAATAAGCGAAAGTGATAAAAGAAATGCCATCTCTGGAAGCGCAAGGGATCGTCAAAAGCCCCTGCCACACAGTGCCACTCCGAGGGTTTGGGAACTGTCGATCAAACCAATGAACTCTTTTGGGAACCTGGAGAAATAACAGAGGGATCCGAGGATCAGCATTCTGACGCGGTTTCAATGTGCTGACAATTTGCCTCGAGAGTCATACATCTACTCCTCCATACCAGGAGAAAGTGAAACCTGACGCTGACAGCCCCCATCTTAAATTTAGCGATGGGTCCTATTTAAAAACAAGGGCTCCCTGCTCTCTCTCTCTCTCTCTCCACACATTGATCAATAATTAACTCGCTCACTTTGTTTTTCCCTGCTTTGATCTTCTGTTCGATCGATTCATTCAATCGCTTCGCTTTTCACTCTTTGTATTTCCGCCCGCAAACAATCAAAGCAGCCACTCTTTCCTAGCCCTCAACCGAAAATGTCTCCAAAGATCCTCCACCTCGCATTCCTCTCGCTTATGTCGCTGACACCCCATGTCCTCGCATCCAAGGATTCATCAGCTTGCTACAACAGCCCCGGAGATTTGACCCTGGCCGAATCCTCTAAGTTTATGTCCCGCGGCATGTGCGAGGCCAAGTGCGAGAATAACGTCGTCCTCGCCGTCCAGGGAACTGACTGCTACTGCGGCAGCAGTCTCCCCTCGTCATCCGCCAAGGTGTCGAACGACAAATGCGATACTCAGTGTCCAGGATATCCAGTTGACTACTGTACGTATATATAGACACTGTTGCGTTGCAGACCAGACTACCCAGCAGGCAGCTAATTTGTACGAACAGGTGGCGGGTCCAAAACCTGGACTGTCATGTATGACACCCGTCTCCTCAAGGAGGACAGCGACGATTCCACTTCGACCTCGCTGACGGTCAACCCGACTCTCGTGGCTACCATCACCAAGGACAGCGCCAATCCTACAGCCACCATCCCTGCTGAAATTCTGACAGCACCCTCGGCCACCTTCACGAAGCATCCTGGCGTCGCGCAGGGCGTGTCCTCCGTCACTGCGTCCTCGTCTGGAGCCGCTGCTGCGTCAAAGTCGGCAGGCGCTTCTTCTGCCTCTGCGTCGGCCTCGTCCAGCACGCCGTCGGCGTCGCCCTCCGGTAGCGCTGGGTCGGGTGCGAGTTTGAGTCGCTCGGTGGGGGCCGCCGGGCCGGTTATGGGGGCGATTTTCATCCCATTGGTTATGTCTTGGTTCTAAGTGATACCCGTTCTACGATGCTCCGCCTCTACGAATGAACAAATATCCCCCGGTGAATTGTTAATATGAGAGATGGCTGTGGATTATTACTGCTTATTGAGAGGATGCGATTACTGGATATACGTAATCTACTTGGGCCAAGGGCTAGTTTTGGTACGAATCCGGGACAGCATGCTGGTTGTGCTGGATCCTGCAAAGTCCTGTTTTAATCGCTGGTCGATTCGATGCTGGACGTCTTCGTCAAATATTGCGAGGTGGTGTTCTGGGAATCCACCATTCGATCTACAGTCATTCACGACGCATTGTAAAATTAAACGACGAATTTAAATAACACAGGAGTGTCTAACCAATAACCAATAATAAGAATTCAAGGGTATCATAGAGCCAACATCACCCAGAAAGGTAAACCGAACGCTAACTCAAAAACAGGCGGATCACAAGGGATGGTGAAGATGGACTATTGTTTCATGGATCTGCCGATCCTCGCTAAGGTTTTGGTACCTTGATGCCTCTTTTCTCCAGCATGGCATAATCGGTAGCTTTCATAGTTACTGCTTCAAAGTTCTTGGGAAGCGGAAGTTCATCCCTGTATTGAGTGTTAGTGGAAATACCCAAGGCAAGCTTGTCTGCATGGAAAAGGGAGGGCGCGAAAAGAAAACCCCAAGTGACAAACTGGGACATACCTAAGGAAAGCAATTTTGAGGTTCCGGGCCCGATCTTTGAGCTGGACTTGATCACGTCCTTGAATCTGAACCTCGCCATCTTCCGCTGCCTGTGCATCGTTCTGACGCATGATGGTTGCCCATCTACAACCGTGCTCCCCAATTAATCGGATCAGCCGCGCATCTTCGGCTGGCGTCCAGCGCTGTCTGCCCTTGGACTGAGACGGTGTAAATGTTCTATTCGAACCAAAATCGCTCGTCTTGGCCCACTGTGTTGACGGTGACTGTTGAGTCCGGGGTGGAGTTTCAGGCCGGCGGACGACTTCCAATTGACCTTGCGCTTCCCTACTTTGGGTACTCGCCTGCAGGCCCTGCTGTAACTGTGAGGCAGACTCGTCATGGTCCTCTTCCACCCGCCGGCGCTTTTTCCGTTGCAGCTCTGCCTTTTCTTGACGCTTGCGACCAGGGTCAAGCGCACGACCATAGTCCGAAAAGTCATCACTGCTCGCATCTTCGTCCTCAGATTCCTGACGTGTTCGCTTTCTGGAGGCCGGCGGGGGGTCACGTCTACTGGCTGCACTTAGGAGGTCTGCCTCCTGACTGATTGGGGAAACACGTTCCGCATTATCCTGACGGTCAATGAAAGCCTGGCGTCTGTCTAGCCGTGACCGTTGGGCTGACCGTGTGGGACTCTGGGTTTCTTCCACTGCTCGCAATATGTCCTGGCTTGATGGAACAAAGGACAATCTGCTCGGTGTACGAGGTCGATGTCCATAAGAAGGGTCGTGATGATGCTCGCGGGTGAACCTATTGACAACCGGAGGGCTATGCGATCTTTCAAGTCCAGCACCGACATGATCGCCGATGTTCAGCTGAGAATCATCGACACTGAGATAATGGTCCTCAGGTAGCAAAGTCGGAGAACCTTCCGGAGACGCAGCTATCTCGTCTGGCTCTCCCTGCGTCGACCGGAATGATTGTGATGGAGCGGGCAGAGTCTGACCACGGACATCCGAGGCGGACTGCGTGCGCTCGCCGTCCACGACTTGGGCAATAACGTCTGTCTGCCTCCGGGTCTCTGTAGCCTCGCGCGACAAGCGACGGCGCTGCTGCCTCTGCATAAGGCGCTGAATCGACACGGGATTGAGGAAGGCCCTTGAAAGCGGTCAGCAAGAGAGCTAAGCTCAAAAGATAATCGGGTACCAACGGTTTCGAAGACTTCCGTCGCTCCCTACTTTCTGCGGTTGACACTGGGGCTCGTTGATCTTCTTTAGGAGCGCCCCGCATCTGCTCTTCAGCCCGAGGTGGAGGTAATCCTTGCTGTCCATCGTCAGTAGCAGCTGGCACTTGTGCACTTTTTTCAACGGCGGGAGTGGCACCAGGACGGGGAGTGGCAGTTGCACTCTCTATGCGGTCTTGGTCAGCGAAAAACTCCTTGTGCACTGTCTGTACGCTTTGCAGCCCTTGCAGTCCTTGGGCGACTTCCTGGATGCGCTTTCGTAACCATTGAACAGCCCGCAGCACGAATTTTTGCCAGCGGTAAGCGCTTTTCAACTCTTTAATATCAAAAGAGTTATCTCCAGCTTCTGATAGGAGAACAAGGATCTCATTATACCGGTCACAAACTGCATCTCTGTACTGCTCCGGAAATTCTCCAGAAGCTTGGAATCTACTGATGTTGAGACCACGCAGTGGAGCGACACCGCTGTCGAAAGCATCTTCATCAAAAGCATTAACGTCGAAAAAATGTTGCCTAATAGCAGCCTCGGGAAGAAAATCAAGCTTATACTGATCCTCTTCCAGTTTCAGTATCAGAGATTGTGTGCGAAGTTCCAGAGCGAGATCAAAAGTATCTTTGCGAAGGGAGCTCTCGCCAATAGCTCTCTCATGCTTGCTCTCAGAGAGATCGTTCATGAATGGCAGCGGAAACAAGTCTTCCAAGTTTTTGATTGCTCGTTTCGTCGAGTCCGTGCCAGCATTTGCCAGCAGCACCTCAAGTGCAAAACGCGCACAATTAGCCTGGTGAAGAATGGGATCCGCACTCCAATCTTTCGCTACTTGGACGCTCTTTTTTTCAAGAGCCGATGTGAGTAGCTGACTGACATGCTTGACGTCAATGTACGTCTGAGGACCGAACCACTTGGCTTGAACAGCCAGGTTGGACACGGAATGTCGGAGGCGTTTGCTTTGAGTGCTAGCCGGATCCGTGAGCCTCTTAGCTGAGTTCACGATACTGACGGGATCCGCTGAGTTGGGGACGAGATGGTCCAAGACATTCTTGGCTGCTCGCTCAAGGTCTGGCAGTGTCTCCATCATCATATCCGGATCCAGATTGGTGTCGGGCTCTTCTGGCAGGAAGGTAGTACCGGATATGTTCACTGTATCATCTAGCGACTCCGGAATCACTTGATGGGCATAGCGATGAACAGACTTTTGAGGCGAATTGAAAGGTGGCTCTTCCGCCACGACATCGAGGCCTGTTTTTCAAAGGGCGAATAAGAGTCATGATCCAGGACATAGTGATAATGTGAAGAGAAGGACAAGGACAGTGGAGGCATGGAGACATTAACAAACAATGACATGTCCAAGGACTTAAGTCATAAGAAGTAGACAAAAACACATCCAATTGAATGATCAAATAAGGTCAATCAAGGTTTGGGTTCTGCATAGGTAATTCAATACACAGGATAGAGAGGAGGAATGCCGTAGGTGATTCAACTACATGACAACCCCTGCTTCAAGGCTAGGGAGCCACTCAACTTACTCATTCTGCCTTTGTTTTGTCCCCACCTCCTCCGGGCTCCATCCACAGGCGCGCCCGCAGGACCGACATCATCCGAACGTCCTGTAGACTCAAGCTCGCGACTTCGACTTCTCGTCACTCGTCGCTGTGATGGATTTGGAACCGCATGCTTCACTGGCGCATCTTCTCTGACGCTTCCAGCGACCAGAGCGGCCTGGGCTGGCAATGCTGAGCGCGACCGTGAACGCGCCATAGTCTGACTCCAGGCGGTCAGTGGGGCGGAAGCTCCTCTAAGCCACTCGAGAGGTGCTATTGAGCGAAATGAGGAAGTAAACAGTCTCTCTTTGGATGGATTTGATGAGAAATGCTGTCCCTTTGATGGAACTGCTGTAGATGTGCGACGTACTCAGTGAACTGAGGATGTTGGAAGGGAACGGAGCGGGAGTTAGCCAGTATTAGGGTGCAGTAGGGTAACCTAGGGTAAGCGTTATTACGTAATCACACTTGACATTTGGGTTAGAAACCCCAACCCTAACCCTTGACCAGTTGGCGGCCAATAGAGCGTAGATCACGTGACCATATCAATATCACTCAGCAGTTATATCTGACGGATGAGTTTCATTTCAAAGAGAAAATTCATAATTAATTGACCATCTCTCGGGGGGCTTGCTCGAAGACAAAACCGTCCAAATTGCGATGAGCTGCCTGTGCACAGTAGAAAATGATTGATTGTTATTGTTACTTACTACCCTAAACGTGGGCCGGTAAGATCGCTGCGCACTGTACATTTCCAAGTGGTTTATCGAGATCATGAGGCTCATCCGTTATATTACAGCAAAAGCATCGAAATACAGACATACTATAGAACTTGGCTGTCCACGAGTGGGCAATCGCGAGGACATAATCAAGCCTGTATTCTAAGATTGAGTCTAAGACTAAGCTGAATGAACCACCCAAAAGCTAGCAAAGAGCTTCTATGAAATAAATGACTCCAAATATTAAGAATGCCGCGGCACCACCAAGCGTCACTGGATAGAATGTTAGCCTGTGTTCAAACGGCCAGGGAAGATTAGAAGTGTACATACCAACCCGCATGCTGACTTTGCCAGCAATAGCAGCACCTCCAATGACTGCCGCAGCAGTGCAAATACCATGGCCGGATATGGCACCAACCGTCACCCACCAGTAATCCTGTCCAGCAGCCATGGCAATGGTCGCGATCTGACTCCGATCACCCCATTCCCCAAGGAAGGTCATGACAAAAGTCTGTACCCATGCAGGGCTGAGAAGAAGCGAGAAAAGATTGTTTATTCCAGTCAAGATGCCGCTCCAACGGCGACCAGGTCCTGGCGAAGATGATCGTGACGAAGACGATGAAATACTCTCAGGGGGCGAAGGGAAGCGATTGGTGGATGAGCGAGACTTGCGACGTCCACCAAGTCGGCCAGCTTCCAACGAATGAAGCGTCACGGAGGAGCGGCGCCGGCTCATGCGCAGCTGCTCTTGCTCCTTCTCCTCAAGTTCCATCTCGACTTCCTTCATTTCTTCGCCAACACCCTCATCCGGCGACATCTCGCGGCCTTCCTTAAGCATCTTCAGTCCGAAGACAATGAATAGCACAGCTGCCAAAAACTTGGTAACAGACTTGGGAATGAGTGTTGGTACTGCATGTCCCAGGATAGCCGAGAGCACCGTCATGCCAATAAGCGCAGAGAATGCCGCCGAGAAAACAAGCAAGCGTGGATGACGCATGGCCATGAGGGCAGCCACCAGAAAAGTCTTATCGCCAATCTCGGAGACCACGATCATCGTAAAGGAGAAAAGAAGTGAGTGGAATGCAGATCCTTCGACCTGTTGTCCCGAATTCGTCCCAGTTTTCGAGGATGTGCCGTCTGCGTTAAGGCCAAGAGGATGATCATTCACAGTTGCTGGCGATTTAGGGGGAGGGATATCGTGCGGTTTGTCTGGCAAGTCACCTGGTTTCTACAATGTTGTGTCAGTCACAATTGAGCCAAAAACGATAGTCGGCAGCACTCTACCTCAAGAACGCCAAGGTTCGATTTGCCAGTGGAGCCTTTCGCCTCCTTGCCTTCCTCAGTCTGTTCCGACGGCGACAGCTTCTTCTGTTCACTATGGGGCAGAGGAGGCGCTTCCTTTGGACTATCAGGCGTCTTCTCTCCGACCGGAGTATTACCCTTTAGTTTTTCGGACACTCCACCCTCTGTACCCCGAGTTCCCTCTTTGGGACCCGGCCTATGCGGATCGTCCATCACACCGTCATTCGAATGAGGGATCGGTTTCCCATCCGGTCCCATGTGTTGATGGTCGGCCGGTTTCTTTTCAGGCCCCGAACCTTCTTGCGCAGTCTTGACCGTACCGGCCTTTTTGCGGTCTCGTTCAGCATTCGTTTCGACCCACGGACCAGCGTGAGGTCGACCATCTTTTCCATCGAATGGGGCGTCCAGCGTCCCTTTGGGAGTAGCTTTGGGGGCAAGTACGTCTATAGATGGAACAATTGGATCTGGAGTCGTAAAATCACGCGGTGTGAGACCTTGGTCCGTGGAGACTCGATCGGCGACAGCCGTCGAAATAGCTGGTAATAGAAATAGGACAGCTGGAGATGAAAGATAGGAGAACCGCATCTTGGATGCAGCGAAAGATCGGAGGCAAGGTTCTAGAACAGAATTCGATGGAAGTATTAAAGATAATATGCCCGCAAATGGGGCGACGAGTAATCCCTGGTAAAGGACCGTGGAGAGATCGACACCTGGTGGCAGGTAACCAGCAGCGTCTTGATTGTTGATGATTAAGAAAGATAAGGACAATTAAAAGAAGCAAAAGACACCAATCGTGAGTGCTAATAAAAGACAAATGAAGGGAAAAAAATCAAGGAGGAATAATAGACTATCGCTGCTTCATGAGCCAACGCGAGGTTTCATCAGGGAACTTTTCCGGCCGCAAAAGGGGCGACCTCAACGTCACGTGCCATTAAATCAGTTTCCTCCGCAAACGTCAATTTGGAAAGACAAACAGAGAAGATCGTTTAACGAAACAAGTGACTTATAATTACCATATCAACTCGTTCCATGCACCTATCAGACTCATCAGTTGAGCTTTGGTCGGCTCTCGTCAGCGGTCGCGGATACTCTTCATGACAAAGAGTTGTCTCATGGACTTTCGAGCCTCAGGCCTCGTTATCGTTGCCATGACATGATACTCCGTAGGGGAGTGCCGAAGAACTCAAGTATCAATCCCTTATTCCGGTCTTGTGGTATCTCAAATCATTCCATGCCTTCTTCAAGAAGTGGGCCTTCTATAGATTGAGCGGGAAACACTAGTTCCACTGGTCTCGTGCCTTGAGGTAGAGATTAACTACATCCTTTTCTGCGCACTGTCCAGAGATCTTATCAACATCAGTAGGGTTTCGGGGCTTGTCTAGTCCCCGGGTTGTAGGTACCGCGAAACCTGTATTAAGGGCCTAGAAGGCTTAAATTGTTACTGGATACCTTTCGAGCAACACGATAATAGTACAACCGGTTGGTTGAAGAGTCCCCGTTTTATCTTGCATGAGTAATATTTCGGCGTCCAAAGTCTCGAGTAAGACATAGATAAGCTGTGCGGTAGGAGTGGATAGTGATCATCGCGAATATATATCATCATTCTATGCATCGTGTAGCACCATAAAGTGAGCAGTGGGGCAAAGGATGAATCGATATTCTGCAGTTTGCCTTGGATAGGGGTCACTGATTTGAGCGGTCTCGCAGGCAGGCCTTCTGATCGGTCTATTCGATGAACCAGTCCTCGATCTTCTCCAGCAGCTGGTTGCCTTCCTTTGCGTTATTTCATACCTGGGTTGGCTTTTATAGTTCGGAACATGTGGCTGTTGCTTCGCTGACCAGCCGAAAAGAGCTTCAGTGGGTACAAGGAGACTAATCCTGCTTTCTATCAGCCTGCAAACCCTTCGACCAAGTAATACTGGGGAGCGTGGTCTCTGAGGTTAAGACCTGAAGCATGTTGAACATCTGTTTATTCCGATGTTTCACTAGGTGAAGGGTGAAGTGTCTCTCCAGACACCAGTGGGAGTAGGATTGTTTGTTGCCGTGTAGAGATGTTTAAGTCATATATTTCCTTCCAGCCTGTTGCCGTGTTTGATATCCCTTTTCTTTCCTAGCTCAGTAAGAGGAATTCACAAATAATTCTGCCCCGTCTAATAAGTTAGAAATTGATGTTATGATGCCTTCGATGATTGCAGAAGTCAATATGACCCTGTCATAGGTGATGCTAGGTCAAAGGTAAACACAGCTGGATTCACATGAATCTAGGTACAGTTTGCTACTAGGGATCTTGAGTAACCAGTATTCACTTTTGAGTGTCTCTCTCCTTCAGACATAGCACTAGAGTATTTATCTATAAATGCTTCAATATTGACCCTATCTGATTATCCTGCATCCTTTTCTCGTCAATCAACTAACAAGATGTACTTCTTTTCACATGCCAGTTCCTCAGCATATGAGTCTCAGAAGTTTTCAAAACAAAAGACCCCAAGTCCTAGAAAGCAGCAACACTTTCAGACGGAAAACGGATCAACACATACACGGAATTCCTCCACAGGCTTATCAGTATACAGCATTGAGTCCAAAGAGATACCGATTTGGTTCAGTGTGTTCTTCGGAAAGCCCAGTTTGCTGTCGCCGCAGTTGGACAATGCTCGGTTCAATGCTAGAATTTCAGAGCGGGTCTTTGAGCCTTCGAGCGCACCTGCTAACAGTCCCTCCAAATCCTCTTTCAGAACGAGCGTTTCAAGTAACGTCTCCTTGCCACGACCCGGTCTGCTTGAAGAGCCACCCGTCATCCGCGCTATACTCTCCTTGTGCCGCTCTTTCGAGGGTGAAATACTCAACTGCGTGACAGATGGTTGTACAATCTGCGGAAAGGATCCAGCTCAGGCGCTAGTACATCATCCGCTGTGCGCCACACGATATGGCTATGTTGAACTATCGGATTTTGTAGAGATGCACAAGCTAGTCTCGACTGTGGCGTCTCATACATCGCATGTTACCAGGAGGGACGAAATCGATTGGAGTGTCGGAGATGTGATGAGCGACAGACCATACATCTGCTCACTAGCAGTTCCAATTTGTTCTTCGGAAGGAGAATGCCACAGAGCAGCGACAAGGATGATGGAGATGTACATTGATGGCATTAGAGACGGCAGCATCAAGCCAAAGGCTTTGGACAAAGTCGAGACCACGGACAGATCGAGTTTACCACAACGCCGGAGTGACACATCGCAACGCAGCTTTCGAGTGAATACCACTAAAAAAGAAGATTATTCTGGAAGCACGCTTTGCCTGAGGAGCCCATCAATCGAGACTCTCGGGAGCCCTACTGCTCAGCCCTACAAGATTGGGGCTACCATGTTTGTTGGAAGACCGAGTCTGCAGCTCAGTGACACCCCGCGACGTGGTCAGCTAGGCTGTTCAGTCTTCTCCTCTACTTGGTCGGGCCCTGCTCTTCCTGGAGTTGCCAAGAACGAGGCAGATGACGCCGTTTTCTATTGCCGTATTGCGGCTTTCTATGAGAATCACATTCTTAGCTCCGCGAATTACCGTTGCGCAGTATGTTCTGAAGTCGCACCAGCAAGGAGCTTGGTGCATCGGCCGCTACTATTTGTCCAAACTCATAGATCCGGCTTGCAGAATGAGTCTGAGCGGCGGCTGATCGTGAAGCTCTCTCAGTTTGTACAAGGCCGATGGTCGTACCCGGAGATGAACGCTGTCATGGGAGGCACAACCGACGCTCATGTTTTCGACCTCCTTGTACCAATCTGCAAAAGCAATACGCTCTGCGCAGAAGTGGCTCGAACCTCTGCCCGCGAGTTTGTCAAGCTACTATTACCTTCCGACATGGCCCTTATTTTTCCAGGGTTAGACCCAGATACTGATCTCTCCTTGATGGAAGATGGGGCTGTGGGTGAATATCTCTACAAGCCCGAAGATGCCGAGGTCTTAGTCCACAGAATCGGATGCGATCTGCTGACAATGACCGGCGAGGAGCGAGACGAGGATCCTATGGACTGTTCATTGACCATTACCAAGCTCCGACGATGGTACGAACTCGCTTTTGAGGAAGAAGTTGCCAAACGCCTTTACCTCGAAGATATTGGGTACAAGAGAACCGGCGACCGCAGTGAATCAGACAGCGACGACAGCGAAATCGAAGACGATCTTGTCTGGGTCTACGCTCTGAACAATCCCGATGAGTCTTCCTCGCGGCGAAACAGCGCCCAGTTGTCTAACCGCGAACTGACAAGACAAGACTCGGCTATCAGAAAGTTTGAAAAACTTGCACTCTTTCAGCCCACACTCAGTCTCGAATTTTGGAAAGTTTGGGAAGCTATGAAGTCTTTGGATCATAAGCATGGCTAGAAGCGCTCGCTGAGGATGAGGCCTTGGGAAGCAGTGACTGCACTAATTGAGGCTTTCCTCGTATCATCGTATGCTTGGACGAAGATAGTAAGAATACGATTCGGACATACCAAATTTGGAGCATGTAGACCATGCGTAACAGATCGAGTTGCAAGCGAGAGGAAAGTATTTGCTGCAGACGGAACAAAGAATACGTATTTACCCTTGTCGCCTCTACGAGCGGATCGCTCCTTGAAGCTATTTTGGGCAACCGTGGCTGAATTCTCTCAATGCTCAATGCCCGGCAATGGCGTCGGTCCTTTGAAGCCCGGCCACCAATCATCCCACATCTTTGTACAAACATATGAAGGATATCTCAATCATCAAAGGGCTCTGACTCAAGGAAACGAAACAAAACTGCAACAGAACGACAGGGCAAGAAAGTTGATGCACCGTTCTGGATAGTTGGTTTTGAATGTGGACACCACCCAGACTTTCTCATAGAGATGAGCATCTGCTTTAAAGAAAATTTGTTGCTCAATGGCCTGCATTATCGCTTCTGTTAGAGGCAAAAAATGGGACGGCCCCTAATTGGGGGCGGTTAGTGGTTGGTTGCATCGCAAGGCTGACTCCCAAGAACCACCTTGGGGCCGATGCGCATTTGATTCCTCATGACTTTTACACCACAGGGAGTTTGAGATACTAAATCTGGACTTGAATCCGAAACTTGGGCGTACTTGAAGACAACCAACAATGGGGGTCGTATCAAGGACGAGGCGCAGCTCGAGAGTCCAGTTTGAGATGCTGCAGATACGAATCATATACTCCGTATCCCGGATTCATTCGGTTGGTGTTGTAAAGACTGATATAAAGGTGTTGGTGGTGCTGTAAAAATTGATATAAAGTTGTATATCCTTGGACTTCATGAATAGACGAGTTGGAGAGTGGTGTGTGTTTTTCCTGGCTTTACTGAATCTAGCAGGTCTTACACAATGCTATCAACAAGTAACCTCCTCTACTCGATAGCAGCCTTTGCTGCTGTATTTGACTGCGCCTACTCCCTGTTGGACACCAGTTCCTCATCCACGGTCGCCGTGTACTGGGGTATTTGAGCTTCCTGCGAACTATAAGCGACAAGATGCTGACTATCCCGCTCAGGTCAAAATTCTGGAAACACAGGCCAACAACGTTTGAGTTATTACTGTGATAGTACGTGCTGCACGAGTTCGTTCGTCGGTTAGCAATACAAAGGCTGACTAAATCTCAGATCCGAATATCGATGTATGGTGATGACTTGATCGATCTAATATCTATGAGGAAGCTTACGTGCAGCAGGTGTTTCAACTGGCCTTCGTTACACGAATTTCTGGTGCAGCTGGTCTGCCGGAACTCGATTTTGCCAACCAGGAAAGCCAGTGCACTGTATATCCTGGCACGAATCTCCTAAACTGTCCTCAGATCGGGTGTGTTACATTCTGCGAAGTGTCGCGGATAGTTAGACTAACATAACATCCTCAATCTCAGAGAAGATATCAAACGATGTCAGCAAAAAGGAAAGACTATCCTTATCTCTATCGGCGGAGCAACGTCACCAGAACGTGGTTTCGCTTCGGAGGCGGCAGCCATCGAAGCCGCCAACAAGATGTGGCAGATCTTCGGACCCGTGGACGCGGGTAACACGGCATACCGACCATTCGGAGATGCAGTCATCGACGGCTTTGACTTCGATTTCGAGACCAGCGTCACAAATATGGTGCCCTTTGCCAATCAGCTACGCCGCTTGATGGATACTTCTGCGGGCAGAAGATACTACCTGACTGTTGCGCCGCAGTGCGTGTTCCCCGACGTAGCAGATCAGGAGATGCTGAATGGAGCTGTTGCGTTTGATGCGATCTGGGTGCAGTTCTACAACAATTACTGTGGCGTGAATGCATTTTCTTTTGGCTCTATGCAGCAGGGCGCTTTTAACTTTGACCTATGGGACGCATGGGCTAAGAGCCAGTCCAAGAACAAGCAGGTCAAGGTCTTCATCGGTCTGCCGGGAAATGTGGCTGCAGCCGGAACTGGCTATATTGGTGCTGAGCAGCTCAGGGAAGTTGTCGCTTGGAGCAAGGCATTCTCGAGCTTCGGAGGTATTATGGTATGGGACGCAAGCTCGATGTATGCGAATCAAGGATATCTTGAATCGGTGAAGAAGACGCTCATCGGATGAGGTGGATGACCTTGCTTCTTGGCAGTATGTATATATAAGATATTCATTTGTGACGGGCTCACGTAGATGTCCGATGTATATTCCTAACTTTTTGTTGATGGTTTAGTTTTGAACTTTGCTTCATCTCACTCTGGCCGACAACAATGAATGCCATGACGACATTCTATTTTCAGCGCTTCGAGCGTTGTTGATGATAAAATTGAGGCTGATCTGCCTACTGACCTCGACGATGGCAGGGTTCATATGACACAGGACAACCAATCACTTCACGAACCCAGACTCAGGGTTTTACCTTATTGAGCCCTCCACGCGAAACCTGCTGCAGGATGACGACAGCGCACAGCGCACAGCGCACAGCACCGACTGTCGAGTCAACTTGAACGTGCGTCTTAAAGTATATTCGGGGAGCTTCTCGCATGGCGATGTATGCTTTGTTTGGGATCTTGCAAAACAAGCGGGTCCATAACTCGCATATAACTCGCATTAGTAACGCATATGATACCCTTTCCTGCGCAGTTAAGGAAAGAGCATTGACAAACCGATTGAGGGATTCGTCATCGAAGGCCGAATACAAGATATGGACATAAACTGTGTTTCTTTGTTCCCCTCATAGCGGTGCCTCAAGGTTGGTAACATTGTGGCGGTCATATGCTTTTAGGTTTCGGGCTGAAACAGTGAGCACTGCGCACCTATTTCAGAATGACAAACAAGAGGATAGCCAACAACTTTGGATGATTGTCCAGAGAGATGCAAGAAGTCACCAAGGTCATCAGCGGTGTCAGGTGCACGCCGATCCGCGCAAATCAGAGGCATCAATCCAGCCCAGGGAATCGGTGTGATGGCCGTTATCAAGTAAGCGGTGACATTCGATGGCAGATCTTCGAGGCTAAAAAACTAGAGAAAGTAGCTCATTACACCGGCGTTACCCAAATGAATTCTGCCGTCCTATCATAGGACATCTTCTCCACTGATTACGAGCCTAAAGTTGATATGCGAAGATGTACCCCGCGGTTCCCACGGCAGAGCAGCTGCTCACCGCCTGTAAATAACCAATACCATACGCCAAACTGACCATGAGACAGGCTCCATCATCCGCCTCAGATTTGCTACAATCTGAACGCCATCATCCACACTTTTTCCGCGTGATGGTCTGGGCATCAAGCTCCGGTCCTCTTGTCCTCGAGCTTCACCGACTCCCAACGTCCACCTGTCATCTCCGCGGACTCCGTATATTAATCGCTCTTCTTCCTCATTCCTCTTTCTTCATTCTCATTCTTTACTTATCCATTCCTCCCTTCAGCGATGCCTGTCAGCAATCGTTGCTCAGGTGCTCCCTCCGGTCTCCGCTCGTAGGCCGTGATCTGACCCCTAACTTTAGGGAAGGTCATCTTGCTTTCACATTCTCGAGTTACGGCAAATCAGGCAATTCTAGAGCTGCAGAGGTCGGGTCTAGACTGTTATCGTAGCATTTCTCACATTCTAGTGGCGTTGTGCCACTTTCTGCAACAATCAGCTCCTAGCTGCAACAGGTGATTATAACTCGGGCACTTGTTCCGCGCCGCTTCGGTTTTCTCACAATTTTAGCAAAGATCGAAACTAACCATGTGTTTCTGTATCAGGGTTTTCAGGTCCAAACCCAAGGAGGAGTCCGAGGTGGTCTCCATCGTTCATCGGGTGAAGATGGCCGAGGATGAGACATCCTCTGTCAACCTCCCAAGCGAACGTCTGGATGGCGCTGCTTCGCAGCGTGAACCAGCGCAAGGCTTGATGAACAGGTTCTTCAGAAGGAGAGGGTCGGGAAAGGCAGAGTCCGAGGAGTCGGAGTCCGTCAATAGCCGGAGCTATCGTTCGAAGGCGACTTTAGGGATTCTTAGCGACAAGGAGACGGATGAAGTACCAGGTACGTTTACACGCCTGTCTTGCCAATGTTGAACAGTCCTGACGATCTCTAGGAACGGTGCTGTTGCTCTCCTCGAATCGTAACGAACCATTGGGTCTGCGACACCAGCAGCGGCGAACATCCGCATCTTCTCTACCTAATGTCATTCCTGGCTCTCGCTCTTCATCGCGCACGACGGCGCCCCAGCCAAAAAAGACGGCAGACGGTCGAATTGTCCTCAATCCGCAGCCAGATGATTCCGTTAATGACCCGCTGAACTGGCCCATGTGGCGGCGCGATGCTGCGTTGCTCTCCTTGGGCTTCTACTGCTTAATGGGAGGAGGAATGACACCCATTCTTGCTGCTGGGTTCAACCAGGTCTCTGAGAGCTACGGTGTGAGCACTCAGAAAGTAGCCTACACCACCGGGTTATACATGTTGGGTCTCGGAGTCGGGTCGGTCATAATGTCACCGACCGCAATTCTATGGGGAAAGCGACCAGTCTATCTCCTAGGGGCTACACTCTTTGTCCTTTCTGCCGTGTGGTGTGCCTTGTCTCCAAATTACCCCAGTTTGGTGATTGCTCGGGTTTTCCAAGGGATCGCCGTCAGTACTGTCGAGTGTCTTCCCTCGGCCACTATTGCCGAAATCTACTTCCTGCATGAGCGAGCATATCGTGTTGGCATCTACACTCTTCTCCTTCTCGGTGGCAAAAACCTCGTGCCTCTGGTCAGCGCTGCTATTATCGGCCGTATGGGATGGCGTTGGGTGTTTTGGATTGTCGCAATTATTGTTGGTGCTTGTCTCGTCCTCCTCTTCTTTTTCGTTCCCGAAACGTTCTGGGATCGCACTCCGCGTCCTCGTCGCTCTCACAAGCGTCCTCATATGATACAGAGCGTATCGGACCTTCTCCGGGGTCGACAACTTCACCACCGTCTAGAGAACCCAGCCTTGAATGGAGACCATATCTCACCCGCTCCCAGAAAGTCCAACAAGGGTCACGTCGGCTTTGTGGAGGATCCAGATCAGGAAGGAAACCCCGTAGATAAGAAGGAAAGAAATCTTGAAGACAACGACCGGATATTGCCATCCGAGACGCCAGCCGAGCACAACGATCAGTTGGTCTTGGCGGATCCTGAGAAGCACGATGCGTCCCTACAAATACCTGCTCCAGCGGTCACTCGTGAGTCGGACTCTCAGCGCGATCTCGAATCTGCTAGGCAACCTGCTGTGTCGCCCGCGCGTAGCGAATCCGTGGGTTCAGCCGTACCACTGCCTCCGTCCCAGGTGTATACCAACCGACTACGAGAGAAACCTCAAATCCCCTTTACGCATTATCTGCGAGTCTGGAACGGGCGAATCTCGCATGACAAATGGTTACGAGTCGCCATGCGACCGTTCATTCTGTTCGCCTACCCAGCTGTTCTCTGGTCATCAGTAGTGTATGCACTGTCGGTTGGATGGCTTATCGTGCTGTCCGAGTCTGTGGCGCATCTGTACCAGGGCCCGCATGGTTACAACTTCACACCACTACAGACAGGCCTGATTTATATCTCGCCCTTTGTCGGCGGTCTTTTAGGAACCGCGGTTGCCGGTAAAGTATCCGATGTGATTGTGCGATTCATGTCCCGGCGCAATGGAGGCGTCTACGAGCCCGAATTCCGTCTTGTCATGGCCATCCCTATTGCTCTATCGACTTCGGCGGGATTGATGGCATTCGGATGGAGCACGGAGGAGAAAGATTCCTGGATCGTGCCTACGATCTTCTTCGGTCTGATCTCATTTGGATGCTGTCTCGGCAGCACGACATCGATCACTTTCTGCGTGGATAGCTACCGGCAGTATGCCGGTGAGGCCTTGGTGACTCTGAACTGGAGCAAGAGTAGGTCTTTGAATTCCCTCCCGTAAAGAGAGCGAGAAGCTAACAGATTCCGATTTTAGACGTATTTCACGGCCTGATTTTTTCGTTGTTCATTGTCGACTGGCTCGAGGCCGATGGCGCGCGGACGGTATTCCTCGCGCTCGGGGGCATTCAACTTGGATGTTTGTTTTTCACGATACCCATGTACATCTACGGCAAGCGAGCGCGAATGTGGACGGTACGGAAGTGTTTGATGGAGAAGTTTTGAGTGACGACAGTTATCAATCGGATGAGAATTGCTCAGATGTACAAGTTATGATTAAATATACATAAATGAGTATAGACGAAGACCAAGCATCATTGCAACGAAAGTTATTCAGTTATCCCTTGCTGTGGTCTGCACAGGCAGATGATCTGCGTCACTCGCCACATGTGCCAGCCATTAATCTGCCGTCCCACTAGTCCCATCGCATTAGGTGGTCCGTGTCGAACAAGACTCGTTGGATAAAACGGCCAACAATCAGAATGAGAAGAGGCAATCCACTGCCTCCACAGGATCATGGTGACACCAGAATGATGGTAGCGGCTTCTGCAGATCAGCTTAGTTTAAGATCTTATACGTAGCATTGACCATATTATTAATAGTATTGATAATACTCCGAGGTTCAGCAGTGGCCAGTACAATTAGAAAGAAATGGCCTTTTGTGCCTAGATAGCTCCTGTGATCAGAGCCCACCGCCCCGCATCAACCTCCGATCTGTGCTGCCCTGATTCTGCAACTCGAGCTCTGACTGGCGGCTTTCCAAGCCGAAAGAGAATGGTCACCAATCAGAAGGTTTACTGCTGCCCCTGTGTTACCAGAAAAGGCTTGGCTCATGCCAGGAAACAGGGAACCAAGATGGGGGAATTGACTAATAGGGTAAGACAAGGTACCTAGGTTCAGTACGGAGTAGCTACAGTAGGTAGGAGATTCAGATACCTTATCATTATTAGTTCTGTTACTGGCTAGTATTGTCACTGTGCCTTAAAGAATCCCTGGAAGACTGGAGCTGTGAGTGTCCCCGGCCCATGGATAATGGGCTCCATCAAGGGCAGTTTATAATAATCATGGAGAGTGGCGGATTTTGATTGACGGACTGGCAGATATTCTGCCCAGTCCCTTGCACAAGTGTCACGGCCATGGGCCCATGTCATATAACTCATGTTATTCTTATTGTGATGCCGATGATGACGATGGTGGTTACTCATAACTTCAGCATAATTCCTCCTTTGAGTGATCACTGCCCGATCCATATCCTTGAGGCAAAACTGGGATGGTCAGACGGATTTCAATGGTGGAGCAGAATCGGTTTCCAACATTTGCCAGAGAATGTGTTGCGAATCGTCAAGCGAGGTGGTCAAATGTGTCTGTCGCATTCGCTGTAGCTATTCTATTATCTAAGGTCTTTCCTTCTTCTAGGAGGTGTTGCCTTCTTTTATACTACAGATCCATTCTACCATCTCCTCCCACCAACCTGCTCTCTTCCTTTTAAGCGGTTCACCCTTCATCGTCTTCCCCTCCCGCAAATTCGGGCACATGCCACTTTTGCAGATCCTGTAATCAAAGAGAGCCAGAAAAAAAAGTTGGTTGCTGTGGCCCATCACTTTTTCTCCTACATCCAACAACCCTCTTCTCTCCTATCCTTGAATCTCGGTTTTCAAGCCGCTCATATACTCCTTTTTGTCCTCCGTAGGCTGCCCTCTGTCGGTCTCATCATTATTGCTGGCTGCTTGGCCTCTGTTTCTTGCAAGCTGCCACAACCTATTCTGACGTCGACTGACGCCCCATTCCTCTCTCATTGGGCCAAGAATGGATCTCAACGTTTGAAAATCGGTCCCGTCGGCTAATCTTCTTTTTCTCCCTCCGTCCCTATCGTGATCACCGATCCGAATACTACTACTGAGTTATGGCATCCACATCTCGAAGTCGCCGAGATGACCATAACGCCGGTCGCAGAGCTCGCGAGCTCTATCGCTACTTTCAACCTGAACGTCTCCCTCAGTTAGACACCTTCAGTGTGAACAATGCTCCGATCGGCGATGATTTTCTCCCGCCAGCCACGGCGCAAGCCCTTGATGCCTCGATCCATGCGCCCTCTGCACCCTCACCCTTACCGCCGCCCCCACCACAATTGTCACCACCACTGGCGACCACCGGGGAAGATTCTCCGTTATCGCCGGTGGTCCCTGAGACTCTGGTTCTAGGCCAGAACAATGCTACTTTGACATCCTTTGCTCAACTTGCAGCACTGCGTCTAAATGTGGAGCGTGTGATAATCAGGTACGGCTACTTTACCTACTAGCTACAGTCGGGACGATCAATTATAGCTGATGGAATTTTTCTTCTGCATTACAGTGTATCCGACAGAGATTCGCAGTTCATTCTCGCCCAAGCAAGTCAGTCCCCCGTTGGTAGTGATGTCCGTGCTTATGAGGCCGAGGGAGATGGGATCTGGGATGGTTGCTCTACCCTGCCGTCCTGTGCTTGGGGAATGTGCGAGGTAGGTCTTTCCCAGCTGAATTACTATTATTATCTTTGTGTGTTATGGCAGTGACTGAATTCTGTCCGCTATAGGCTACGGTAGCACTTCCACCGTCTTCGAGAGATCCAAAAGAATACAGTTTCCTTGTGGTCAATGACCTGCAGGAGAGCGCGTCTTACAAGAACATCCCTTTCGTCACCGACGGACCTCGGTTTCGATTTTACGCCGGGACGCCTCTAACGACAGAAACAAAAATCAACATTGGGTGCTTCTTTGCGCTGGATACCAAGCCTCGCGATGGCTTTTCTGACCTTGAGAAGGAGATTTTTGGCTCATTGGGAATGCTTATCATGGACTTTCTACAGGTGAGCCGGCAGGCCTCGGAGGGAAGACGTGCAGCTCGATTGTCCCGGGGTCTGAGTTATTTCGTAGAGGGCAGTTCTAGCTTTGTCGACCCTCATCCCTCGTGTTCAGGCAGTTCTGCCCCTACGCTCAGCACCCCCGCGTCGTCCGGTGTGAGGGCCAACCACCTCTCGGGCGGGTCCTCTCAGAGTTTCGAACTTCCCTCCAAGCGCTCTCACAGTATCGATGCACGCTCCAGCAGCTCGGTATCAGACTCAAAAGCCGACAATGGTGACCAAAACAATTCTTCCGGGCCGGACACACCACTCCCGGATTGGTGGGCGGGAAGCAGAAGGAAGGGGCTGAAGTTAGACGAATCACATAGCAGCTCCTGGGCGTTTCGGAGAGCCGCCAATCTTCTCCGCGAAAGTCTCGAGTTGGATGCCGATGGTGGTGTCATCTTCTTGGAGGCCAATAACAGCCACATGCTGGATTTCGAGACCGGAAGTGATTGCTCGGGCGAGACCGGTCCCGCGGCTCCTGTATTGGCTGTCTCCACCAGAGACGAACCTTTTGCCCCGGGGCCGGGCTCGACAGTGCTGTATCCTGCTGCAAATCTCGACAGCGGGTTTCTGCACCAGCTGCTACGTCGATACACTAAGGGCAAGCTTTGGTCCTTTCATCGAGATGGGATTCTCTCGAGCTCCGATGACGAAAAGCCAAACGGAAACCGCAGCATGAAACGCACCGAGCCGCCTCGGGGCAGTGGCAAGAAGTGGAAACAAACGGAAAACGCCATGTTGAATCTCTTCTTTCCGAACGCGACTCAGGTCATGTTCGTTCCTTTGTGGAACGCTGCCAATTCCCAGTGGTTTGCGGGTTGCTTCTGTTGGAACACAATAGAGACGCGTGTCTTCAGCCCTTCTGTCGAGCTGAGTTCGGTTCTGGGCTTCGGATCATCCATCATGGCAGAGTGCAACCGGGTCCAGTCCCTGATCTCCGATCGGCAGAAGGGCGATTTTATTGGAAGTATCTCGTAAGTATTAGAGACGGAGAAAGCGAGCTTGGTTCATCGACCGGTCATTGACATAATTGGGTATAGACATGAACTTCGCAGTCCTCTCCACGGCATTTTGGCGGCCACCGAGTTTTTGCACGGCACAGACCTCGATGAATTCCAACTGTCTCTGCTGGAGACGATCAACGCGTGCGGTCGGACACTGTTGGATACTATGAATCAAGTCCTAGACTTCAGCAAGATTGTTTCCCTCGAGAGGACCTGGCGTCAGCTCAAGAGGAACAAGACTTCGCCTGCGGAATTGACGAGCATGGACAAGATTTCCGCGCATCTGGACACATTGATCACGACAGATCTTGCCGTCCTGGCTGAGGAGGTGGTGGAGGGCGTGTGTTTAGGCCATACATACGGACAGAACTCGATGGCTTCCTCTGAACAGTCTGTCCTTTCACCGAACTCGGCTGCTACGCTCTCGCTTGCGCGGCGAAAGCCCAAGCCGGATACTTCAGCGGACGTAGAAGTAGTGATGGATATCGCGCAGAACAACTGGGTGTATCGGACTCAACCGGGTGCGTTGCGGCGCATTATCATGAACGTCTTTGGCAATGCCATGAAGTACACCGAGTCGGGCAGGGTCTCGGTGCACCTGGAGGTCACCGAGGCGTCCGAGAGCCGGTCACGCCGACATGGTGTGGAAGAACTTGTGACTTTGACCGTTTCAGATACGGGCAAAGGCATTTCGGAAGCGTTCTTACGGGGGCGCTTGTTCACACCATTCGCCCAAGAGGATACTTTGGCGGTGGGAACTGGGCTGGGCCTATCGATCGTTCGAAGTCTCGTCAAAGCGTTGAACGGGACTATCAACGTCCACAGCCGGCCTGGTGAAGGCACGACGGTCAAGGTATCTCTTCCTTTAACACGCCCAGATCCGGAGGACAGTCTCGAGGACAGCCTGACTTCACCGTCGGTTCCGGCGAGACAGGACGACACAATGAACGAGGCCTGTTCGCTCCGCGACAGCCATGGCGGCAGACGGGTTTCCATTCTTGGTGTCGAGCCTGCTTATGCCCTCGAACATCGCTTCTGGTCCATCATTGCACGCTACCTGACGGACTGGTACGGTCTGGAGCTGGTTTCCTTGGCGTCGCAAGAGCCCATCGACGTGCTTTTGGCAGACGAGGATAGCTTGGCGAGCATCTCAAAGGAGGCTGTCACTGGCATTCTCCCTTCACTCTTGATCCTCTGCAACAAGTCAGTTGATTACAGCGCTATCCGGGCAGAGTGGTCACCGATTGCCGCTTTTGTGGACATCATCCGTCGCCCGTGCGGTCCGCACAAGCTGGCCCGTTGCATCAGGAAATGCCTTGATAATGGACCACGTGGGGG